ATATTCTACGCGTAGTAATCCAACGCGTAATAATGCAACGCGTGGTAATTCTAAGCGTAGGAATCTCATGCGTAGTAATCCAACGCGTAGTAATCCAACGCGTACTAATACAGCGTGTGGATATCCAACGCGTAGTAATCCAACGTGTGGATATTCGACGCGTAGTAGTCCAACGCGTAATAATCCTCGCGCTCTGATTGATCCGCGTTTTTCTTTAATAATTCAAAAACGAAGCTTCAAACCCCATTTCTGCAAAGGAAAATCTTATTCAGAATCACGTTAGCTACCCTCCATTTCAGAGACCTACACTAGTTGTGAAACACCCTGTATACCTTTTATCATCAGAGGAATATATTTCATAATAGAGAAAATATAACTGATAAAATATGCAAAGAAATTATACAACAACAGAGGAGTAATACTTCTTCTTAGCCTTCGATAACATTCATAACATTCATAAAGTTCAGTATTTGTAACTAATAGCAAACATACAAAATTGTACGAGCTTTTACAAATATTTGCTTGTAAAAATAAAAACTTCATTAGTGAAGTACTACAATAACCTTAATGAGTCTCAATGAATACATAATTGTAATAAGTGAATTATATTGAAGATGGTAGATGTACATACAGAAATAGATTCACGACCAGCTCCTTGAGAAGTGGCTGGATCAAGTCCGTGCCATCCAGCTAAGAAATCTTTGACATATGGCCGTCCAGCGTCCACAATGCGAAAGCCAGTGATGTTAATAGCCCCGTATTCGATCACCTCGCTTTCCCATCTGTCGTCCATTATCTGATTACACGAAAACAATAGTTTCATTGTTTTATCTGATAACGATGTTGCAGTTGATTTTGGAATACTATGTAAAATATCCATGTGGTACAATGAATTCAAAATGGATCTGCGAAGTGTTTTGATTATGAACTTTGTGTGGAAACAACTTTCTGTATCAATTGCAATTAAATAATTATCGATGTTGACTATGTGGATATTTGTTAAACTAGTAACTTGGTTGCAGATCTATTAGAAATTGAATAATCGATGTTATTGATTACGTAGATATTTATTGAATTGGTAACTGTTACAGATCAATTATAAATTAGATAACCGATGTTATTGATTACGTAGATATTTATTAAATTACTAACTGTTAGAGATCAATTAGAAATTAGATAATCATCAGTTATATATTTATTAAATTAGTAACGCACAAATGATTAGAAATTAGATAACTATCGATATTACTGATAAAGTAGATATTGATTAAATTAGAAACTGTGTCACAGGCCATTATAAATTAGAATGTCGATATTATTGATTATATGCATACTCACTAGACCACTTAATAAGTAGTGATACGTCCTTTTCCCCAGAGCAACATCCCTCACGTGGCTCACAACGATATCCTTCGCCATGTCTGTAGGACAGTCCAGCACTACATACTTGTTACTCCACCTGTAAAGTAATTAATGCATTATTAATTCACTTAAACAAAATTTAATAAACAAAATTTTATCTTAATATTAATTATATAACAATCGTAGTGATTAATATTGTACACATTAAATGTTTCCTTAAGTAGAATATGACCTAACCTAACTTACAAGTTTTCTAGAAAAAAATATTTTTCATCATCGATGTTGAGAATTTAGAAAATTGTATATGTGTTATAAATAGTACATGAACAATAATCAGTTACCCTATGTATTGACAAAAAATAGAAAAATAAAAATACATACAAGATTATACTACACTCTCTTTGTATTGCAATTTTCAAAACACCTCAATAATTACCACAATAATTCTCCCATTACCACAAACATCCACAAATATGAAAAAAGAGCCGTATCCCATTCTCTGCAAAATTTTCGCCTCGATCAAAATGTTGATTTATAGCGTGTCGGTTTGAATAAAAGCAGCGGGCATAATCCGACTGTTTGGTCAACAAAGTTACCTCACGCGGAGCAATTTTTTGACAATGATTCGCAATAATCACGTCCCGTTTTTGGTGACTGCAGTGTTTACTTGATACTGGCTCATTGTCGGGGATGGTTGTTGATTACCCGGGTCGTGCAAATGCGTGGCCGGCGGTAAATTGCGGCCAGATACGCGGTGACCACTCGTACTCCCACAAAAGCGTGATCCGTCAGATTGTCCGAATGCGGACAGAATTTACCGCCCGAAAAATAATACCGACACTAACGCATTAGCACGCGTAGAAAACGTACTCCGATTGTCGATTGTAAGATTCAAAAATTCTTTCAATTAACAAATTTTTACTTGGCACGACCTCAACTTTTCATATTTTGATTTTTTGTATTTATGAAAATTTTTGGTTTTAAGTTTATATGAATTTTTTGTATTTTCAGGTAGAAAATGTGGTTTAGTAGTAATATTTTTGAATATGGTTGTTCAATTACTGTGTTGCTAAATTTCTATGTTCATAATTTACTATATTGCCAAATTCGAATATTGTTACATTATTATGTTGTCAAATTCCTATATTACCAAATTGTTATGTTGTTAAATTTCTGTGTTTCTAAATTACTATATTACCAAACTGCTATATTGCCAAATTTCTATATTACCAACTTGCTATATTGTCAAACTTTATTATTGATTATATGCATACTCACTAGACCACTTAATAAGTAGTGATACGTCCTTTTCCCCAGAGCAACATCCCTCACGTGGCTCACAACGATATCCTTCGCCATGTCTGTAGGACAGTCCAGCACTACATACTTGTTACTCCACCTGTAAAGTAATTAATGCATTATTAATTCACTTAAACAAAATTTAATAAACAAAATTTTATCTTAATATTAATTATATAACAATCGTAGTGATTAATATTGTACACATTAAATGTTTCCTTAAGTAGAATATGACCTAACCTAACTTACAAGTTTTCTAGAAAAAAATATTTTTCATCATCGATGTTGAGAATTTAGAAAATTGTATATGTGTTATAAATAGTACATGAACAATAATCAGTTACCCTATGTATTGACAAAAAATAGAAAAATAAAAATACATACAAGATTATACTACACTCTCTTTGTATTGCAATTTTCAAAACACCTCAATAATTACCACAATAATTCTCCCATTACCACAAACATCCACAAATATGAAAAAAGAGCCGTATCCCATTCTCTGCAAAATTTTCGCCTCGATCAAAATGTTGATTTATAGCGTGTCGGTTTGAATAAAAGCAGCGGGCATAATCCGACTGTTTGGTCAACAAAGTTACCTCACGCGGAGCAATTTTTTGACAATGATTCGCAATAATCACGTCCCGTTTTTGGTGACTGCAGTGTTTACTTGATACTGGCTCATTGTCGGGGATGGTTGTTGATTACCCGGGTCGTGCAAATGCGTGGCCGGCGGTAAATTGCGGCCAGATACGCGGTGACCACTCGTACTCCCACAAAAGCGTGATCCGTCAGATTGTCCGAATGCGGACAGAATTTACCGCCCGAAAAATAATACCGACACTAACGCATTAGCACGCGTAGAAAACGTACTCCGATTGTCGATTGTAAGATTCAAAAATTCTTTCAATTAACAAATTTTTACTTGGCACGACCTCAACTTTTCATATTTTGATTTTTTGTATTTATGAAAATTTTTGGTTTTAAGTTTATATGAATTTTTTGTATTTTCAGGTAGAAAATGTGGTTTAGTAGTAATATTTTTGAATATGGTTGTTCAATTACTGTGTTGCTAAATTTCTATGTTCATAATTTACTATATTGCCAAATTCGAATATTGTTACATTATTATGTTGTCAAATTCCTATATTACCAAATTGTTATGTTGTTAAATTTCTGTGTTTCTAAATTACTATATTACCAAACTGCTATATTGCCAAATTTCTATATTACCAACTTGCTATATTGTCAAACTTTTATATTCCCAACTTGCTATATTGCCAAATTCCTATATTCCCAACTAGCTATATTGCCAAATTTCTATATTCCCAACTTGCTATATTGCCAAATTCCTATGTACCCAAATTACGACAATATCAAATTCTACATTCCCAAATTACTGTTATTGCCAAATTTCTAAATGTTTAAAATCTCATTGTTTTCACATTTCATAATAATTCAATGAACATTTTCCAAACTCACATATATCTAAATTTCTGTATTCCCAAAATTCCACATTAATCAATAATTTTATCTTTTTCCAAAATACTCTCCAAAACCGTATAGCAAACTTTCCTGCCAATTTCAGTTATAAAAACAATATTGTTCACTTTTCACTATAAATCCATATGTGTACCTACATTTACTCCAAAACAAGTACATCGGGACATCAATTTCTTTACAACTGAAACTAAATCTCAAATCTTCAATAACTGTAAATTCCTCTTCCAATTTCCTGTTCGAAATAAACAATCCAACCCAACGTCCGTCATCCAATATCCATTTGAAATTTTAATATTCTTCAATAAATAAAAAATATCCCAGAACATACGACTTTATATTTATACGATTTATGATAAAACAGAGTGTACAGAAAATAAACTTACCGATTGAGCTCTTCGAGGCTACGCAGGAAATCAATCGCCTCGGACATGTTCTGTATTCGTTTAACAGTCTCGACTTGAAAGGACTCGTTGCCCGGTTTTAGACCCTGGTAAATCTGCTGCAGCCTGAGCAATCCTGCAACAAGGACGAAATTTATCGTCGGCATTGATCGTTTTCGAGTTCGAAAATCCTCCGTGAACGCGTTTCGTAGCGGTTTACCGCTCGTCATTACGTATTATATTATAGTGTATACACTTTCCGAAAACGACTTGCACACGATTGCACGTAACATTGTCCGTAATTCATTGGCAGAGTGTTTGGTTTGCGGTTCCCGTCGACACCGAAACGTTACATCGGTGATTGGAGCGAAACCACTTCTGGTTTTGTAATTGGACGACGCGGACCGTGTAACGCGTTCTCTCATAGGTTTCTACGATTTTTAATTGTTTATCGTTTGCTTTTATTCATTCGTTCATTCGTTTATTTATTTGTTCTTTACAATCATTTTTTGTATGGAAGTTTTTATGGTGTGAGTTTTATATGTGCTTATTTTATATTATACACATACATATATACATATGCATACATACATGTATATGTATATGTACATTCATATGTATATGCGTATGTGTATGATGCATGTGTATATTCATACGTGTATGTGTATGTGTATGATGCATGTGTATGTGTATGATGTATATGTATATTCATATGTGTATGTATATGTGTATCATGTATGTGTATATTCATATGTGTATGTGTATGTGTATGTGTATATTCATATGTGTATGTGTATGTGTATGTGTATGGTGTATGTGTATATTCATATGTGTATGTGTATGTGTATGGTGTATGTGTATATTCATATGTGTATGTGTATGCGTATGACGTATGCGTATATTCATATGTATATGTATATGTGTATGACGTATGTGTATATTCATATGTATATGTATATGTGTATGATGTATGTGTATATTCATATGTATATGCGTGCATGTATGTGTACGTATGTATTAACAATCTAAAACAAAATAAACTACATCAAAAAGTATATCCAACACCATCTTCCCCACCGAAAATTCGACTTCATTATACCAATTACTCAACTATCCGGTACTTGCAAAACTTTATCATTAAAGATACGCGTCCATTGTACGCAACAATCAGCCCTGTTATTAAGCTTACTAAAGATCAACCACCGTCCTTTGTTACAGTTCTCCGTACATTAATTCCGTATTCCTTTGTTCTTTCCCCTAGCAACATCCCTTCTTCCCCTCGTAAACTCCTAATAACACCCTAAAACATTTCCCATTAAAAAGCATCTTGAACAAGGCTATTAAAGATCCTATTAAACCCAGCGAAAACTCTTTCGAAATTCGAGCGTAGCATAGGGTTTCGCTATTAAACGGTTTCCTGTTTGCTAACGTGATCGTTTCCGGAACAATCGGGTATTCGCGGTCGAAGGATCGAGCGATTCGTGGTCGCGACTGGATTCGCGTAATGCAAAGGGTGGGAGGGTGGAACGGGGGAAAAAAAGGTCAGGAATAAAAGGACGAACAACGGGTAGGGGGATGTCCGGGCGAGAGGGATGGAAAAGTCAACAGGGGGCTACGTTTGAAGCTGTCGTCGTGCTTTTTTGCAGCGCCATGCGTGAAACTGATGGCCGGGTTAACGAGCGCTCTGCGCGTGTAAGCCCAGCGGCGCGTTATAAAAGAGCTTGCATTTCAACGAGCACCGCACCGGAGCTTTTCGTGAACATTGTCCCCTATGCCGGTCGCATTTTCTTTCCCGTTTCCCGTTTCTTGCGGCAACAACCTTCGAGGACACGGGAAACCGGACGACCCTCTGCACCGCGTCCGGTCAACCTGCAGTTATCGCTGGACCTTCCTGGATTTTACGGCGAAAAATTATCTTGCTTCACGAGATTCGAATGGGCTTGGAAATTTTGGATTAATGGACTCAATTATATCACTTTTATTCGTAGAACCGTGAAGGGTCTTGGACTACTTTAATTTAAAGAAACTTTTGATAGAATATACATACATATGTTACATATCCCATATATCACATATGTTACATATGTCACATTGCTTAAGAAGCAGTTTTAAATTTCCTTAAATCTTTATTCTCAACAAACATCACTTCTTATAGTACAAAATAGTTAATAAAAACATTTAAAGTAAATAAATAATTTGTAGAATAATATATGTATGATATTCATATAGAAATTGAATTGTCGTCCACGTATATGGCATCCGAGGTGTAGGATTCACTGAAATATTGACAAAAGCATATTCTTCTCTGCGAAACATTTCTATTCGCATTATAGAAGTCAGATGTTTTCTATTCACAACAATTCTGTTCTTTGTCCGACTATTAGAAGAGGATGGCACCGAGAAACGCATTACGCTAAAAGCGTACGTTTGTCAAGCGATCATGCTCGACAGAAGCAGCGGCAACGTAATAATAGACAAATTAGTCGAAGGAAGCAGCTCCTGCGGAATTTCATTTCGAGACAGCCTTTGAAACCTCACTACGCTTTCGACTTTGAAAATACTCGCTGAATCCTCGTTTCGAATACATCGGTTCCCATCTCTCGCTATTTTGCTTTCCTTTCTCTTATTCGACCTTATTTTATTTTATTCTAGTTGTAAGTCCCTTATTTTTATTTTTTTAAAACGTGGAGAATGGTATTTTTGATTCATTGTGGAGCTTGGATGTGGCAGACTCTCGTTATATGGCCGACATAAGAATTTTCGTTTTTAATATTTTCATTCTGTAGTAATTTTCATTTTTAACATTTTCATTGTAGAGAATGGTGGTTTCCATTGATTATGTATTTTTGATATGGCTGACTCTCGTTATATGGCCGATATGTGAATTTTCATTTTTAATATTTCCATTTTATAATAACTTTCACTTCCTATATTTCTATTTTATAATTTTCATTCTCAATATTTTCGTTTTCACTGGGTCTTTAAATTGAAGAATTGAAGAATACAAGAATTGAAGAATTGAAGAATTGAAAAGTTGAAGAATTGGACAATTGAACAATTGAAAAGTTGAAAAATTGGAAAATTGAAAAACTGAACAATTGAAAAATTGAAAAATTGAAAAATTGAAAAATTGAAAAATTGAAAAATTGAAAAATTGAAAAATTGAAAAATTGAAAAATGGAAAAATTGAAGAATTGAACAATTGAAAAATTGAAAAATTGAAAAATTGAAAGATTAAAGAATTGAAACAGGGAAACTTGAAAATTCTTGGAACTTGAAAATTTTTGCTAAATCTGCTTACAATATCTATCACTACTCATCTCCCTTTCTATGTATCAATTTTATAATATAACTGAAAATTTCTGTCTCACCTTCACCAGTAGACTTACTCTTACAATTTTGTCGCATCAAAGGAAAAGTTAATGAACTTTGAAATGGCACCCATAATTGACTTTACCGTTCCGTCTGTTTGAATCGTTTCACGGTTTGTCTCTAAGGATTTCTGCGGCGCTTCGAGATCGCTGCTGGTCGATAATTGAATAATCAGGTCCTCGAATGTGATAATTCGATTCCCGCGTTTTCTCTTGTTTTCGTCGTTATCTTGTGTCGAGTGTGCAAGAGTGCACTTTTCATCTTGTTACTGAAACCGCCGTTGTTCTATTCGTTTCTGCTGCTATTTTTCTCGTAAACATCGAACGTTTCGTACATTTTCGTTGTTTTCCTAACTTTGCGTGCTCGAAACAGGATCGAGCTCTTTTTTAATTAGCATATTCACCCTCTTCTATTCGGAACAAGTTTACATTCAATATCGTTCATGTTTCTGGTTAATTAATATCGCCGCTTTCTATCGTCGACTGAAATTTTATCGTGCCATCTTGTTTAAACAATCGAAAACAGCGATAATTAACATTGTTACGCTACTCGGAAAATATACGGTACGCGTAATTCAATAATAAGATGTAAAATTCCTTCGAATTCTATTTCAGAGAATATTTTTGTACATTTTTTTATTAATACTCTATTAATTAATTTTTTAATTAAAATAATATCACGGATGTTATTTATGTTGATGTTGCTGCAATTTTATTAATGAAATTCGTATGTGATAATTATTGCGTGACATGTTCGTTGGGTAATTAATTTAAGTGGTATGAGTGTGAATCATTTATTTCATCATGAATTGCTAATCATCAATTTGAGAATTTATTTAGAACTTAGATATTCGAGAATTTTAACACTTTGATTCAAAAATTTTTAAAATAAAAAATCCGAAAACTCAACAATTTAACAAATCAGAAATTCAAAAAACGAAAGTTAAAAAATTCAACAACTCAACAACTCAACAACTCAACAACTCAACAACTCAACAACTCAACAACTCAACAACTCAACAACTCAACAACTCAACAACTCAACAACTCAACAACTCAACAACTCAACAACTCAACAACTCAACAACTCCAACCAACAACTCAACAACTCAACAACTCAACAACTCAACAACTCAACAACTCAACAACTCAACAACTCAACAACTCAACAACTCAACAACTCAACAACTCAACAACTCAACAACTCAACAACTCAACAACTCAACAACTCAACAACTCAACAACTCAACAACTCAACAACTCAACAACTCAACAACTCAACAACTCAACACAACAACTCAACAACAACTCAACAACTCAACAACTCAACAACTCAACAATTCAATAATTTAATAATGAAAAAATGTCAAAACTCGAAAATCCAAAAATCCAAAAATCCAAAAATCCAAAAATCCAAAAATCCAAAAATCCAAAAATCCAAAAATCCAAGAGTCCAAGAATCCAAAAATCCAAAAATCTAAGAATCCAAAAATCCAAAAATCCAATCCTCAATGAACATATCCAAGAAACAATCCCACACATGATCCTCTAAAACTCGAAACGCAAATCTCATCCGATGCTCAAGAAACAATCAAACCGTACCTTGCTACGAAGCAAAACTTTTTCTTTATCAGTTGGTACTCGTGACTAGTAACAAGGATGGTAGAAGTTCTGTGACATGGGAATTCAACGATCAACGATCCTAGCGAATGGCTGGAGGGATGAACGCATACGGCACGTCAGCTTCGCTATGCGAACAATCCTG